AAGCTAAAAGTTGTTTGGTAATTGCATACAATTTTTAGCTTAAAAGCACATATTTCAAGAAAATTATCTCTCTCTATCTTTATAGCTCTTTATTTAAAACAACATATTATTCAAGAAAAGCAAATAAGAGCTTAAAAAAAAGCTTCTCCTAGGAGCGTTTAGCTCTTAGCTCTTTTCTTCTTTATAAAAAAGAGTTTTTCATTATAAGAGTTTTTTTCAAAACCTGTTTAGCCTAACTTATACTTATAAGTAGCTTCTAGCTTAAAAAAGAGAGGATCCAAACAGGTATTTGTTGGAGTATTCAAACATGATGAATCCCATATTAGGTGACAAGAAGCTAAGTGAATTCAATATATGTGGGAGGACCCATAAACCTAATGTCTTAAGATTTTGGATTGAGATATGGTGTCGGACTCACTTATTATGGTTGAAGTAGTTTAGTTCATTAGTGGTGATTCATACCATTGTCTAGTGGGCCACTTGAATACTCCAACAATCCCTCCTCCAGTGTGAAATTCCACATTGATATACTCTCCCTCTCTCCCCGAATATCTCTTTTCACATCGAGATAGACATAATGATCTTATATATGGTCTCATAAATTTTAAAAAAGTCCTATCACCATTTTCTTTTTAAATTCCCACTTATTTAGCGTTTTATGTTTATCTCCTTACGTGATTATATCATATAAAAAATTCCATGAAAAAATATATTTTCCGTCGGTGCTGAGATCATGAGTTTGATAATCATAGTGTTCATTCTTTGCATTTATGATGGTTAGGTGATGTAGAAGTCTTGTAATAAATGATTTCCATAAATATGGTTTCACATCAATACTTTCACATTCGTCGCTCCTCAATCATTCTAGCTATGATTCGAACAAATATAGTTTTGCTTATCAATTCTTTCGATCGATTTGCTAGCTGCTCGGTCATTCTCGGTAATCATTTGTATAAAGTCAAATATTTAATAAATTCAAAAGAAAAATTATTAATTTTGACAAATTGTTAGTAGTGATTTATTAAAGGAAAATGCATAAAGTAAATGTGATAAAAAGTGATCCATAAATATTAGTCTCTATATTTAATGTATGCAATTAGTTTTTCTTCACCATCGACGTCGCAAATCATTATATATATATATATATATATATATATATATATATATATATATGGCATAATAATTTGACATTCGTGTCAAACTAAAAAATTTAACACTAAATTTTAACCATAAATTTCTTGAATTTAATGGTTGTAATTTATTGAATTACGTTTATTACTCAATTATTAATTCTTAAGAAATTATAATTGTTAGATTGATGAAAATTAACAGTTAAGATTTAATGTTAAACTTTCTAGTTTGACACCAATGTCAAAAGATCATGTCCCATATATAAAATATTTCCAACCATAGCTTGAAATTAAATGCTAGTGTAGAAGCTAGGTGATGCGTAAAATCGGCAAGTGCACCGATCGTACCAAGTAATAAAGAGTGAGTAGAGTATCGTCTCCACGAGGATTGATGCACCTAAGTTGTTGTAACTATTCCTCTCTTGTTGGATTAATCAAAATAGGTTGAGAATGATTGTAGTTCATGAAACAAACTAAAATAATTAAAGTAAAAATGTAAATGATTCCAAAAGTGTTTTCAGAATGCAAGAACAAAAGATTAAGGATTGAGAAAATATTTGAGAAAATATTGCGGTAAGAGAAACAAACACCTTTCCGATCCCCACCTTGCAACTTGGATTACATTTACATTTACCTATTCAATTGATCGAACAATTCATCATCTTTTATATGATTAGTTAAACCCTAATCCCTTAGTGATCTTAACCTTGTCAACTCTATTAGAATCCTAATCCCTTAGAAATCCCTTTTTGAGTTAACCCTTAAAATCAATGAATCTTTAACGTTCACGGTTCATATAGCCTATCCCTAGTGCGTACATAAACAATTATCTTATTCTTAGTCAGGAATTAGAATTCCAACATCCCTATTGTAAACCCTAACCCTCGCAATCCTACTGATTGATCAGTTCCAATAGAATTATAGAATGAAGAACAAGAAAAGATAAATGCAATTAAAATAGATAAACATAAAATTCAACCAAGGTACAAGGGGTTCACATCAAGGGTTGTGACCCTTACCACAATGATAAAACTAGCCAGACATGTTCATGTCTGACAAAATAACAATAAAATAAAGTAGCATTTAAAACCTAGAAGAAAAAGGGAAGATGAAGATCTTCCGTCTTGATCGATCGAATCCTTGAATCTCCGAGAAGCTCCAAGGAATCTCTGCTCTCTTTGTTGTTTTTCTCCTCTTGATTCTCCCAAAAATCCCTTCTTCTTATGTTTCTGATCCTTTTATTAGGTTTTGGGAAAACCTATTTCACTTTGCACTCCAATTGGACCTTATTTTAGCTGATTCGCACTTAAAAATATATCGCACGCGCACGGGGCGCCAAGCCTGGCGCCCCAAACTTGGGAGAAACAGAAGCTGAATCTGTAAACGGCACCCCGGGCGCCAACTCTGGAGTGCCGTGCGCCAGTCCCGCGCTCCGTGCGCCAACTCCCGGGCTCCGGGCGCCAGGTTGGAGCGTCGTGCTCCACCTCCCGCGCTCCGTGCGCGACCAAAACAGAAGCAAATCGTCGATAAAGCGCCCCGTGCGCCAGTTTGGCGCGTCGTGCGCCAGCGGGAAATTTGGTTTCTCCGTTTTTGCTCCTTTTTGCGGCGTTTCGTGCTATTTAACATATAACTTGAGTGAGAGCATGATTGAGAAGGAATAATCAATATTTCTTGCATTTAATGACTATTTTCACACATTTATGATTAATTCCTTGCTTCTTTTAAGTTAGAAAACATCATCTGCTAGACTCACATCACTAGGACCAATCAACTCTTCACTTTTCGTAAAAGTGTCATTAATATTTATCATAAACATTTCTCCTACATTTTAAAGCATGCATCTCTCATAAGCATGTCAAGTGTTAACAACCAAGTAGGTGAATTAATTTGCAGAGGATTGTTCTAACTTAATATAAGTGCTCTTTGAGTTTGAGTTGTTTGCACACAGCTGTATTAATATGGATCTGGATCCTCCCATATTGAAAAAAATTATATAATCATGTGAAAAATCATAATCTTAGAAAGGTAGATTGATAAAGAAAGATAGAGAAAAAATATTGAAATAAGTTATAAAATCATAACCGTTGATTCATCTTTATATGATTGTGATCTTTTCATATTACCATGTCATGTTTTTTTTCTTCATTAAGAAGATAATAAAGAAAGCTTTATTATCTTTGTGATCTTGCTCGGCTGACCTCAGTAATCAAGTTATCAATAAAGTATGGAGAAATCCAAAAACAAACCCCACCCCACCCCACACACACACACACACACACATATATATATATATATAAATTAATTATTGATTAATAATGTGTATAAATTAGTTATCGAAATAAGAATGGATTCCCAACTTATAACCAGATGATTTTCTTATCTTAATAACTAATTGATGTATATATGTTATTAGGTAATAATTATGATTTACATATCATTAATAGCTATGAGAGCCATAAAATTTTAGGTATAACAATTATAGATCTGTTTTAATTAATTAATTAAGGGATTAACATCTCTCCTTCAAGTAGAGATAAAATTATCTCCTATAAGCTTACCCAAAAAAAAAAAAATCTTCCAATTCGGGGTTTTGGGAATATAAATATAGGGTGTCTTAGTAAAATTCATGATATAATAAGAAGGTAAAATTTCTAATTTTTCTATTGTTACATGAGAAACATTTTTTCCATTAATTAAATGGGTCGTATATGTGTTGAGAAAGAGTGATTTTGAATTTTCAAATAAACTCTCTTAATTATTTTTTGAATGTTAAATGAAGAAGATATTAAATATTTTTATATATCCAAGATATTTAATACATCTTTTTTGTTATTAAGTATTAAGAAAATATGTACCGAAAAAAAGTATTATGAGAAATAAAATTGTTGAAAACTTCATCAATGAGTTTTAAAGAATAATCCTAATCCTTTTTCTATAAAATGGTCACATTGACATTCGAATTCAATTATGACTTTATACAAATTCTGAACATTTATATTATGTCCAGTTTTATTATAATCCAAAGATTAAATTAGGTTAATCTTTCAATACATAAGCTACGTGCATAAATGAGATGTATAGCTAATTAATATGAACATGTAGGATCTTCAATTATTTTCATCTATTAAAGTGTCTGGCTCCGCCACAATAGAATTAAAACCAGTAATGAAACTTAGGGATAGAATAACAAAAGTCAAAGATACTGGTCCATTGAACTTTATTGGCTTCACAAGATTAGTTCGTACTACAATTATAAACCCACATGAAAAGTATTCCCTGTACATCTTCTCTTTCTATATGCTTTTCTCTGAAGACAGAGTGTAACTTTGAGCTAAGAACCACTTACGAGTTTCACATTATAAGAGTTGTCAATATGCTAAATATATAATGATAAAGACGGATGATAGTGAAATGAATTTTATTAAATTAGGAGGCCGTTTCCCCCCTAATATTTGAATGAACCTTTTCGTTTGAGTCATTGATTCATAAATTAAATATTTCCAAGATGTAATCATTTTTATAGAATTCATGGATTTTTTTTCTCTCTTTCATTGACATAATTTAGATGTCGTGAGTTCTTCCTTAATTTAATTAGAAGTAATGGATGCATGTAGCTAGAGAAGAGTTTAGAGAAACAAAATAACATTAAACAAGGGTTAATAATAAAGATAATATTCAATTTAATTAAGAATTATTTCCGTTTGACAAGTAATTTGGACCCATCATAAGAAAAGAACATTAAGCAGAAGAATGCTTGAAGAAGCAAGCAAGTGAACAACATAGTAAGCACATTAAAGTTGCATGTTATTAACATGAAGCATATAAGAATAGCTGGCTTTAGTTTTCTTCTTTATATGGAAAATGCAATGTTCAAGGAAATCCACCTCCAGCTCCAGCTCCAGCTCCACCACCGAATCCTCCGCCGGCACCGGCTCCGGCTCCACCACCAAGTCCACCACCACCTCCAAATCCTCCTCCACCACCTCCTCCAGCTCCCCCACCAAGTCCACTACCAGCACCACCTCCAAATCCCGCTCCAGCTCCTCCTCCAAATCCACTACCCACTCCACCACCGCCACCGCCACCAAACCCTCCACCACCACCAGCACCACCACCAAGCCCACCACCAGCTCCACCACCAGCACCCCCACCAAACCCACTTCCAGCACCACCACCTAAACCACCTCCTCCACCACCACCAAAACCACCACCACCTCCTCCCCCTAAACCACCACCAAACCCTGGATGGTGAAAGAAGTTCTTCTCATCCCTAAACAAACCCTTCTCAAGCCTCCTTGCATCAAGGGTGCAAAAAAGTGCACCAAGCAGCACAAGAAGAAGAACCCTAGAACCCATGACCTTGTGCTATAAAACAAACTTGCCAAGATGGTTATTTGGTGAGGAATGAGAGAAAGGACTAGGGTTTATATAGGCAATGCCAAAGGGTTAACTAAGAACTATTATAAGAGGGTTACATTATTATATGGATGAGCATGCTTTAAATTTAGGTCATCTTCTTAACCATGCAACGCGGTGTTTACATAAATGTTTCCAACTGCCACTATTTGAAAAAGAGAAAAACCCCAACCGTTTATGCGCTAAGGGACCCCACACTTAACTTATCTGGCTTGACAGTGAAGGATATTCACGTTTGTAAGAGTCTTCTTTTTATCTGTTTCTGCATGGGCCTGCCCCTATAGGCTATAGCTTTAGAGTTTCAATTATTTATATTCAATATATAACTCTCTTTCACCCTCTCATTCTTTTATATAATCATGGGTTTCTGATTAGTTTGTATATATTTATTTATATGTGTATGTATATTCATGGGTTTCTAGTGATCACCTCATGTGAATTGGTGTTTAGGGAAGTCTGACTTTAATTTTTGTGATTCACATAACTGTTGTGCAACTTGATTTATTTGGTTTCAACTATAAAACGTTGACGAATTATTATATACAAGAGTCATAGGGCTGGTCGAGAAATTTTTTTATTTTTTTTATTTTTTTACCGCGAAAAAGGGTGCTTTTAATTTTAGAGAAACCTTAAATAATGCATTTTGAGAAGAAATTTTTTTTGAAGATAACAATTTGTGTGTGTGTGTGGGGGGGGGGGGGGGGGGGGGGGGGGGGATCTCTTTAGTTTTCAACTTGACTTTTTGTAGAAAAAAAAAGATGATTGAAGTTCACTACTAAAAAAAGCTATATTATCAAAAATAGTAACGAAATTTTTGACGAAAATTCAGTTTCGTTGAAAATAGAGACAGAAAAAATTTCTGTTGAATTTTGAGACGGAAATTTTCAACGGAAAATAAATTCCGTCAAAAATGTTAATGGAAATTAAATTCCGTTGAAATTTTTTGTCAAAAATTTATCACATAATTATTTTTAATCGAAAAATATCGACGGACAACAAATTCTGTTGATAATTACAATGGAATAATATTCCGTTTAAAATTTCAACGGAAATTTTCCGTTGAAAATTGCAACGACATAGTTTTCCGTCGAAAAATGCAACGGAATTTTGGTCCGTTGAAACTTTCAACGGAATTTTGATCTTTTTCCGTTGAAAATTTCAACAGAGTTTTTTTCCGTTGATAATTTTCAAGTCATCACAACCATTATCAAAAACCCTAAATTTCTTTTATGCAAATATGTTGTCATTTATAATTGTTTATGGTGTTGTGCATATATATTGAAACATTTACATGAGAATGCAAGTAGTGACTATCCACATCTAGAAGTGTTGAAGAAGTGGGTGAAGGTATAAGTATACTAAAATGATGCTCAGATGTACTCACATGATAATGGATGTGAAAATACGTAAACATGTTGCTAACAAATCTCTGTAATATTTATTATACTCAGATCAATATCATATATGTTGATAACTGCATATCACTCATGTTGTGTTTGTTTTCGTTGATTGCTTTTTTTATATTGTTTAAGTTTACTATTGATGGCTTCTAGCAGGTCTGCGCTTCGGAGGTTTTGTCCCTCATCGAGCTTTGGCGTGTGTGCCATTTATACGATTAATTTTGTCAAGGCCTAAGACCTTGTCTTTTGTTTGAAGCTTATTTCAATAAAGATTAAAGAGATTTGTTAGCAACATATTTACTTATTTTCATATCCATTATCATATGAGTACATCTTAGCATCATTTTTGTATACTCATAACTTCACCCACTACTTCAACAGTTGTAGTTGTGGATAATCACGACTACTTGCATTCTCATGTGAATGTTTCAATATGTATGCACAATACCATAAACAATTATAAATGATAGCATTCTTGCTTAAAAGAAATTTATGGTTTTTCATAATGTTTGTGATTACTTGAAGAGAAAAATGAAGGAGTAAAATTCAGTCAAAATTATAAACGGAAAAAAAGTCCGTTGAAATTTTCAACGAAAAGTAATTCTGTTGAAATTTTCGACGGAAAAAGCCCCAAATTTTGTTGGAATTTTCAACGGAAAATTATTCCGTTGCAATTTTCGACGAAAAAAGTCCAAAATTCTATTGGAATTTTAAAGGGAAAATTATTCTGTTGCAATTTTCAACGGAAATAATTCCGTTGCAATTTTTGACACTAATAAGTCATTGTCTCTCACGAGTCATTTAGGAATATACTTTGCATTCTTGCATAAAAGAGATTTATGGTTTTTCATAATGTTTGTGATTACTTGAAGAGCAAAATGAAGGAGTAAAATTCAGTCAAAATTATAAACGGAAAAAAAGTCCGTTGAAATTTTCAACGGAAAGTAATTCCGTTGAAATTTTCGACAGAAAAAGTCCCAAATTCCGTTGGAATTTTAAACGGAAAATTATTTCGTTGCAATTTTCAACGGAAATAATTTCGTTGCAATTTTTGACACTAATAAGTCATTGTCTCTCACGAGTCATTTAGGAATATACTTTGCATTCTTGCATAAAAGAGATTTATGGTTTTTCATAATGCTTGTGATTACTTGAAGAGCAAATTGAAGGAGTAAAATTCAGTCAAAATTATAAACGGAAAAAAAAAATCCTTTGAAATTTTCAACGGAAAATCATTCCGTTGCAATTTTCAACGGAAAAAGTCCAAAATTCCGTTGGAATTTTCAACGGAAAATTATTCCGTTGCAATTTTCAACGGAAATAATTCTGTTGCAATTGTGATAAACTTTTGTATTTTTTCTTCACGATGGAAAAAAGAAGAAGAAAAAAGATACTTTCAAGTTTTTGTGAAAATTCAAAAAATAATCTCTTAAAAAATTTGCTTTTTTTAAGTTTGCAAATTTTTGAGATTTTGAGATTTTGCAATAATTAAATTTCAATAATTAAAATACGTAAGTTTGCAAAAATTCCCTTACACTATAAGTTTGCTTTTTCACTTTTGAGATTTTGCAATAATTAATTTTTTTTTCTTGATATAATGTATTTTAAATAAAAAATTATGAATTTATGGTTGTTTTAGAAATAATTACACATTTATTGCACAATATCACGTCCAATTTGGGCGTCACCAATCACGCGTTATTTGAATTTAATACAATTTGAATTTGAATTTGCACGCGATCACACCAATCACCAATCACGCACATTTATTACACATTTATCTCTCACAAACACAATTTGAATTTGCAACAATGAGACTTTATCTTAGAAGTCGTGGTTTATACATTTGCAACAAACACATTTACAACAGAATAATTTTCCGATGAAAATTCCAACGGAATTTTGGTCCGTTGATACTTCCAACGGAATTGTGGTCTTTTTCCGTAAAAAATTCCAACAGAATTTTTGTCCGTTGATACTTTCAACGGAATTTTGGTATTTATCCGTCGAAAATTTCCACGGAATTTTTATCCGTTGGTAATTTTAACTGAATTTTTATCCTACATTTTGTTCTTCAAGTAATCAAATCATAAATTTCTTTTATGCAAGAATGCTATCATTTATAATTGTTTATGATGTTGTGCATACATATTGAAACATTCGTGTGAGAATGCAAGTAGTCATGACTATCTATAACTAAAAGTGTTGAAGTAATGGGTGATATTAAGAGTATACAAAAATGATGCTAAATTTAAACTAAATTTATAAAAAATAATGATTATATAGACCATGATTTATAAAATATCATGAATTTATAATTAGCACACAATATTGTTATTGATAAATTTATATATGATAAAATATATCACTTTACTTATAATTAGTTAACATTCTTAGCAAAATACTTATAGAGTATTATTCTTTTACAAATTAGCAATTAATTATCATTTTCGTTATAATTATATAACTTAATAATCCCAATATTTATTCCGTTTTAAAATTTGGTAGTCTTTCGCTCTTTTTGCATTCCCTCTTTGTGCAAATTCTTTCCCTCCCTTCTAATTTTTCACAATCGAAAGATCCCGCTTTTTTTTATGTTTCTTATTCCTGAACCAACTCTCTTTCAAATATTTTAAGAAACAATAAACCTTATCAAATCGTCCATTCCCGAAAACTTTCAAACACTGAGCCTTGAATTCCGGTAAGAAATCCCTCTCCACGATCGCCAACACCATCAGTGCCATCGCCAACACTGGAGCGTACAGGGACACGCTGCGGAGGGTGGACCTGTCGAGGTCCAAGTCATTCACCGGGAATGGGCTTTTGGGCTTGGGCCTGAGCTACTGCAACCTGGTGGAGCTGGATTTGTCGAACGCGACAGAGCTGAGGGACGCGGCGGCGACTGCGATGGCGAAAGCGAGTAATCTCGAGAAGCTGTCGCTTGCAAGGTGTAAGTATATTATGGATATGGGGATTGGGTGCATCGCGGTTGGGTGCAGGAAGTTGAAGTTGATTTCATTGAAGTGGTGTTTGGGTGTTGGAGATTTAGGTGTTGATTTGCTTGCTATCAAGTGTAAAGAGCTTCGTTCTTTGGATCTCTCTTATTTGCCTGTGAGTTTTCTTCTTCTTCTTCTTCTTTATTTTTGTTTTTTGATGATGCATTTCATTTGTTTCTCCCCTTGTCTTTTGTGGATTTAGATTTTTTTTACTAATGCCTGCTTTTATTGTGGATTTGGGAAAACTATTCAGATTGTCCTCTTAGATACCAGATACCATAGAGACCCAGTAGGAAGTGATGGAACCATTTTGGGGAATTCACAATGGTTATGGTTGGAGAGAGAGCTAAAGGGTCCACCAACAGCCATTATGATTTATCAATGTGGTTGGTTCTCTTAGCAGCTGCTGTGGCTGGATCCACAGGTTTCGCCACAGAGCACTTCCTCACTCCCAGAAACACTGTTCAGAATGACACTCTCCACCACCCAAATGCCTAAGCTTTTTATGAATCTGGGTTAGGAAGCACTTCCCAGAAACGTGACGAGGATGTTGTCTTCACGTTTTCCAGTTCCCAATCTCTGAAACAAATCGGGGCTAAATCTCGGTCTAAGAAACCCCGAGGCTCCAAGAATGGAGTTAGGGTTCAAAAGGTTGAGCAGAGATTACCCTTTTGCTTGAAGAAGAGGAAAACTACCAAGAATGTAGCTGCAAAGGATCCATTTTGTTCTTCCAAAGGTTAGATTAGTGTTTTCCTAGTTTTGTTCTGCTCTGTAAAAATGATATTTTCTATCTTGTTATGTACATTGCAATTGAAATTTCGAATCTTTTCCCTTTAGAAACCAGCTATCGAGGCAGGTGTTGATATATAGATGTCATGCTTTTTCTGTCTAATGCTTTAAAATTAAAAACCGAATAAGCATGTGTTTGTTTCTAAAGTACTGAATAAGAGTGTAGCTACGGTTTATTTAATTTAAAGTACATTGTGATTTTAACCCTCGAAAAACTATTAAATACAGAGTAAGCATGTGTTTGTTTCTAAACTCTTTTGACCCTGTGTTATTGGATCTGCACCATCTACTAATGTGCCTTTTTACATAACTGCTAAATTAGTACTTGGTTTCAAAACTAATTTGCCTTATATTTTGTAAGATTATTGGACCTTGCAATAAGGTCTTTTCTTTTTAAATATGGAATTCCCTTGTTCTTAATCTGCGAAAAGTGAGTTGAGCTTCATGTACTCGGGCCTTCAGATAACTCCTTATTTGGTTGGGGACTTAGCTTTGGCATCATGTATATGATGTCAGCTGGATTTTTGGTTCTTATGTGGTATTTCTATGTGGACCTTATGCACGCATGCTTATTATGATTTATCACGTCTCAATTTTATTTATTTATTTATTTATTTATTTTTCTATTTTATTGTCATAAATCATGAGCCATTCGTAATATCTGGGGGGAATTAGACTGATAAAATCTGGGCCTTACAAGACTTGAGAACAAATTGAAAGGCTCCATTTTATTTTTTGATTTGTTTGTGCACAAATTATCTCCTTGAGATTGGGCTGAGAAATATACTAACTTTTCCATGTGTCACTTTCTCTCTTATTTTGGCAACTGGATTATGTAGCTGTTGTGCGTGAACGAATGTCAAATGGCTACTTGCTTATTGCAACTAGCGGAGGACTGAACCAACAAAGAACTGGGGTAAGTAGGACATAAACTTCATGATATGCTAAATCATAATCATAAGAGGTTTTTCTCTTATCTAAGTGGCTCTGATTCAGTTGTTATCTGTGATGCTATATTTATGTTTGGTGTGTACAGAGTTCGTGTTGTTACTTTGTGGTACCGCCCTCCGGAGCTTTTGATGGGTTCTACTGATTATGGTCCAGCTGTGGATATCTGGAGTGTTGGCTGCGTGTTTGCGGAGCTACTTGTTGGGAAGCCTATACTTCAGGGGAGAACTGAGGTAGGAACCTTTCCGAATTCATTCCCTTATCATGATGAATATTAGTGTAGCGAAGTTTATTAGTTGTTATTAGAGAAAAATGGCAAACCTTATGATCATCACCACACTACACTCAAAATGATCATCCTGATTGTAGAGTGGCATGGACATTTGAGTTTCTTTGTTAAGCTCTTCAATTATACTATTATGATTTAATTAGATTATTTTTTTATGATTTTTTTCAATTCCATGTGCTCCAACCTCCGTTGGTATTGTGTTAAAAATAAAGATTTGAATACAAATCTTGTTATCATGCTCTATTTGTTTCATAGAATCGTATGTCTTATATAATTTCCGAAAAAAAGGAGATATGCCTTATATAAACATGATTACAGTAGTAGATTAAAGATAAAAAAAATTTTGAATTAGCTAAAAATTAGGTTATAATTTTAATTAATTTAATATCAACTGTTATGATTTACTAATCAAATCATATTCAAAGCCAATTAATGCCATTGTTATAGTTTGCTAATCATGATCCTATTGGATGTTAATTAATGTCAACCGTTACAATTAATGTCTAAACAAATCCTATTTCAACAGTTAATATCATGATCCTATTGTATTTAAATTATCTCTTCTTTGTACATCTCTTTTATTTTGTATTTAAATTATCTTGTGACAGGTTCCTGTGTTTCCCTTGATCACTTGATTAGGTTTATCTTCTCCACATGCATTTCTTAGAATTTTTACCTCTGTTGTTTGTTTGATGTGTATATTGAATTGGTCTTGAAATAGAGTGAAGTGTAAAATTATTTTACCTATAATTTTTTTTTCTATTGCAGATCCTTCATGACAAACAAATAGTGCATATTTTGGTGGCTAGCACAAGTGTTAAGACATCATACTTTAGTTAGCATTTTTCTTCTGTTTCATGTATTTTTTTTAGACTTCATTTGAATTTAAGTTATCTTGTTAATACATATTAAGTTTACACTTTGAATATTATTATAATAATTTTCAGATAATATTTAATTGTTAGAAGCATTTTTCATATTTAGGAAAATTTTCTTTTAATTAATATTTAGAATTTTTTTCATTTTGATTATATGTAATTGTAGTATATTTAAATGATTTTTAAAAAATAAAAGTTGTTTTGCTGCTTATTTTTGTAATTATTAAGCAAAAGCTCAGCGGTGATCTTTAATGGCTGTCAAATATTTGTCCAAAGAAAAAGTTTAATGGCTACTTATTCCGATGGTTGAGAAAATCGACTCCAAATCACGCAGATGGATTCAGTGGCTCCATATTCGTAGGCAATTTTCAAAATGACGTCAATATTTATGCTGGCAGTTTAAAATGCCATCAATATTTGTTGAATTAAAATCAATATGAATTTAATATTTTTAAAAAAATTGAAAATATTATTTTTGACGGAATTCTATGTACATTCCGTTGTAAACGGTTAAGAATTTTCAACGGAATTTAATTCCGTTGAAATTTTTGACGGAGTTATAGATAAATTCCGTTGCAAACTGTTATGGAACTTTTGGGTGGAATTGTTTTCCGTTGAAATTTTCAACGGAATTATACATAAAAACCGTTGGAAACTGAAATGGAACTTTCCGACAGAATTATTTTTCGTTGAAAGTATAGATGGAATTGTAGATAAATTCCGTTGAATTTTACAACGGAATTTTTTCATGGAGATTTTTTCTGTTGCAATTATCGATGGAATTATAGTTAAATTCCATCGAAAATTGTGACGGAATTTTTCAACGGAAATTAATTTCGTAAAAAATTTCAACGGAATTTTTGTTAATTTCTGTTGCAAATTAAGACAGAATTTTTTGACGGATATATATTCCGTTGAAATTTTTGACGAAATTTATTTAATATTATTTAATGACTTTATTTATTGACGGAAAAGTAAGGCTTCCAACGGAATACATTTCGTTGAAGTTTTCAACGGAAAAAAATTCCGTTGTAAATTTCAACGGAAAAAAAAATTCCGTTGCCTTGCGACGAAGGATTATCCAACAGCAGAATTCCGTCGAAAATTCCGTCAAAAAATGATTTTTCAACGGAATTTTCATAATTTCCAACGAAAAAATTCCGTTGAAAATTGAGCTTTTTTAAGTAGTGAATGATGGTTTTAGTTTGAATTTATTATTATGCATATAACATTTGAATTGATCGTTTGAATCTCTACCATTTTTTCTGTAATTATTACATGATTTATGGTTGGCACAAGTCTTGAAACCGTCATGAATATTGAAAATGTTGTTTTATTTTCCAATTATTATGGTACTTTAAGACATTATATTAATTAGGTTTTGAATGCCTTTAATACTCGACTTATATTATGAAGGAGCTCTGTTTCAAATTATTATGAATAGTCATTCAATAAAAGGAGCAAGCACAATCTTCCTAGGGTCTTAATCTCATAGGACTCCTATGGTTGTTTGAGACTTAGAAATATGTGCAGACCACTCTAGGTAGCAAAATTTGGTGATAGAGAAATCTGTATTCAAGGCAATGAAAGGCACCTAAAGCTAATCCCATTATGGGAGCAGTGCTGAGTCTTGAAGGACAACCTAGTAAGGCGAAAATACTACCCTAAGCCTACATTTTTACCATCATGTGCTTAATGCTTTTGTTCTATTTTTATTATATTCTCTTTTGCAATCACTCTGAATTTCTCCAAATAATCAATTCTCTTATTCTTTGTTTATGTTTCTGCTTCTGTGTTTCTGATTCCAAGAATTGCTCCTCGTTTATTCATCGCTTGCATTTAACCAAGGCGTTACGAGTAAATATCAGTGATAAACCCAGTGCATGATCATTACAAAATCATCAACTCTATTTGATTGAGCGGTTGGCAGTACTTAAAGGCTAAACTGAGCTTAGCACAATTTGGCTCCTTGATCCTTTTTAGCTCTTTACTTTTATTCTACTTTATTTTTATGTTTATGCACTTCTCTGAGGCACTACTTTACAACTTTTCTCTGAGGACAATAATTTGTGGTTCATAAGTCCCTGTATTGCTAGATGTCTTGCACATTGTTGGTAGATTTGCTCTCCAAACAATCATTGGCTCCTCAAACATAATAATAGCTCCTCACATTTTGCTCCCGTACTTTCTTGAGAAGATTTCGGCCAACCAAATAGGTACGCACATTCAAAATCCTCTCTCTCTTAGCTGTCACCATTCACATACCCCACGCCTTCGCTAGAGCTGTCAAAATGGGCCAGCCCGGCTCGTTAGGCCCTAACTCGCACGGGCTAGGGGCCAAAAAGCTCGCATATAACAACCCGTTACATACCGGTATTGTTAACATTGATTATGATATTAAGCGCAGTTACAATCACATCAATTCATTTATAAAAATGCGAGTAAGTTTTTTCCTTTTTATTACTCGAGCATCTAAAACAATAATAAAGCGTAATAAATAAAAGTTGTGACCGTAACTGAAAAATCATTGCGGAATAATAATATAAAATACCTAGATATCATATAACACTTCTCTCAAGTCACTAAGGGGTTCTCATAAACCCACTTAGCTTAAATCTCACTTTTATGTTTTTTTCTTATCCGAACATGGTTCCCTATACTGAACATTGCAGAAGATCTGCATGCCGCGAACCTCTCTTATTTTAGTATGTTATTTTAGACTTAATTATCTTTCGAATGTGCTTTCACACGAGTAATAAAGTTCTCGTTTGCTCCGGTTATCACCGTTTAAAGTTGGACAAGAATATCTGTCAACCAACCTCAAACAGGGCTCCAAACATCCCTCACACTCTCAATGATTCTAGAAAATAAAATCCACCAATTTCTCTCAAAGTTTTATACAGTAAACTAGACACCTCAAGCTTCAATTTGATATATCAAGCACCTAATTTGACCAAGAAACGAAGCGGGGATAAATTTCCCAAAAACGCACAGTGACAACCCCAGGTGCAGGGGCATTTTGAGCAGTCTGTGCTCTCTGGCTTCTACAGGGCTGCGTGATACTCTTATGGATCTCAAATTTTTACACAAGGTAGTTGACATCTCAAGCTTTAAAATGGTGTATGGAACATCCCTATCAGACCTTTGTGGAGGGAGATATGCTCTCCCAAAGTTCACTCAAAATCTGCCAATTTATAGAAATTTCGCCAGAGTCTCCTTTGTTTTTTCAACATATCTCACTTTTAAAAGTGTGTTATCTAGCCTCAATGGTACCTAATAAACATGGGTGGCACTCAAGGACCAGCAATGCCTTGGTGCTCTTACAACCCTTCACAATTTATATCAATTAGCTTACTTTACAACTCAATAATTGCATTATCAAATCTTAAACCATTTCAATCACATTAATTCCTTTGCATGCATTCCTTTGACATAAAACATAATTCAAATCCTAGAATAGGACTATTGCCCTTTCATCATATACATGCTTCAATATTACACAAAGTCTCAAGATTACAAATTACATCTTCTCCAATGAAACATAATACAAATAAATCTCCAATTGAAAACATGATAAAACATAAGCTAAACTTAGACAAAATATGACATGAACATCAATGATAAATGCATAATCCTAACTCCACATACAGTGTTCATGCCTTAAGTCTAGCCTAGGCCTAATGGCCACAAAATGCAAAATAAACTCCATGTACAAGCTCAACCTACGGGCCTCTTGCCCGCCGCTCCGGTACCACTGCCACTACCTGAAATAAAGTCTCCAAAACGGGGTGAGATATACGAATATATCTCAGTAACCCAGAGGTTCTGGAGAATACTCCCTCAATGGCTCACTTCGATGCATATCAATAATACAATACAACATTCCAAAACGGGATAAAGCAAGGGAGTTAGTGAAGTAGGAAAGCATAGGAAATAAAATACGATGAAACTAGAATGGTCAATGCAAAAGCCACGCAACATCCGGCCTATTGGCCTCAGCATATAGCCTAAGGAAGTGTTCCCAGAACATCAACCAAGGCACCCTCATCCATATACAGAGACTTCCTAGTGTGATCCTCTACGGATGACACACCACGACCCCAGGTCAACTAGAACTCCCTCATGGAGACCTATCCAGTGGAAGTCTGGAACGCCCGAAGGCAACTGTCTACTGTCCAGAGACACGGTACATCCTATGTACCACTATACATACAAATATGCATGATCATGTTATACTACATTACCTACATACACCTCCAACCACTACCCTCAACGGGCATGGTGGAGCACACACGGGGATTAAACCTCAGTACCAAGGGATTACCTGATTTATCTCCTTCTTAACAGCTCCAATTCAATACGTCCCCGAGCTTGGCACCACTAGAAATGCCTACATATAGGACATTCCCATTTCAGTTTAAATGAACCAACAACATATACATGCTCATTAAATATTCATGCATATAACTATGAAAACTTACCAAAATCTCTTTGGTCAAGGACCAAAGGCAACCCACCAAGCTCAAAGCTCCAAGTTCACTTCTGTGGGAGGCAACCTACAGTGATCACTGATGTACCTCTGGCAGATATAGTTTTCTAAGCTGAAAATGATAAGGATTAAGTCATAAAAGAGCAGTTTATATATATATTTGCTTACTATATTGACTTTTCCATTTCAACGATATTTCTCACCTATTTGTTATGTTTATGTAGGTAGAAGAAATGGAAAATACGAAAGTGTAAAAAGCTTGGTGGCACGAATCCCCAATAGTGGAAGTTCCATGCTGCATCAAGCTTGTTGGGCCAAATTCCAAAAAAATGGCGCAACTTAGCGCCACACTGGTGCAAGTCAGCACCACCGTGCACAGGCCAATGACCAGGAATCTGGCGCGGACTAGCGCCACAATGGCGTGGTCCCGCGCCAGTTTGCGAACTTAAAGCACCGTGTTTTTAAGAAAGGATAGTTTTGGGAGAAGAAAAGATGGTTATTTAAGTGGTGCTCTTCACAGAATTAAGGGGGAT